GCATGCGTCGTCCCTGCCGATTTCGGCACACCCCTCACACGCTTCGCGGCCTCATAGGGAGCTCCACCGGCGGTTCCAATGGCGGCGTTCGCATTGCGGCCCCATCACATGTCGGCACACCCCTCACACGCTTCGTGGCCCCATTCGGGCGGGCGGGAAGGGAGGGTGCTTGGGGGGGGGAATTCCAAAATCAACAGCGTCAAAAACCATCACCCAGGTTTTTTCCCAACCATTTTGTGGTGTTGGGTCCTCGTTTTGAAGAGACGGACCCCGCGTTCCTCCTCTCCTCCTCTTCCGCCTCCTCCTCCCTCCTCCCTCTTCCATGCGCTTCACACACCCAGCACAGCGCTTCGTGGCCCCATAGGGAGCTCCACCGAAGTCCCCAGTGGCACCGCCCGCATGCGTCCGCCACCACCCAGCACAGCCCCTGCTCTCTGCGTTTCACCCACCCAGTACAGCGCTTCGTGGCCCCATAAGGGGGCTCCACCGAAGGTCCCAGTGGCACCGCCCGCATGCGTCCGCCACCACCCAGCACAGCCCTTGCTCCCTGCGCTTCACCCACCCAGTACAGCGCTTCGTGGCCCCATAGGGAGCTCCACCGAAGGTCCCATTGGCACCGATCGCATGCGTCCGCCACCACCCAGCACGGCCCTTACTCCCTGCGTTTCACCCACCCAATACAGCGTTTCGTGGCCCCATAGGGGGCTCCACCGAAGGTCCCAGTGGCACCGCCCGCATGCGTCCGCCACCACCCAGCACAGCTCTTGTTCCCTGCGTTTCACCCACCAAGTACAGCGCTTCGTGGCCCCATAGGGAGCTCCACCGAAGGTCCCAGTGGGACCGCCCGCATGCGTCCGCCACCACCCAGTACAGCCCTTGCTCCCTTCGTTCACCCACCCAGTACAGCGCTTCGTGGCCCCATAGGGAGCTCCACCAGGTCCCATGGCACCGATCGCATGCGTCCGCCACCACCCGCACGGCCCTTGCTCCTGCGTTTCACCCCCCAATACAGCGTTTCGTGGCCCCATAGGGGGCTCCACCGAAGGTCCCAGTGGCACCGCCCGCATGCGTCCGCCACCACCCAGCACAGCTCTTGTTCCCTGCGTTTCACCCACCCAGTACAGCGCTTCGTGGCCCCATAGGGAGCTCCACCGAAGGTCCCAGTGGGACCGCCCGCATGCGTCCGCCACCACCCAGTACAGCCCTTGCTCCCTTCTTTCACCCACCCAGTACAGCGCTTCGTGGCCCCATAGGGGGCTCCACCGAAGGTCCCAGCGGCACCGCCCGCATGCGTCCGCCACCACCCAGCACAGCCCTTGCTCCCGGCGTTTCACCCACCCAGTACAGCGTTTCGTGGCCCCATAGGGGGCCCACCGAAGGTCTCAGTGGCACCGCCCGCATGCGTCCGCCACCACCCAGCACAGCCCGTGTTCCCTGCGTTTCGCCCACCCAGTACAGCGCTTCGTGGCCCCATAAGGGGACCCCACGGAAGGTCCCAGTGGCACCGCCCGCATGCGTCCGCCACCATTTAACATGGCCCTTGCTCCCCGCGTTTCACCCACCCAGTACAGCGCTTCGTGGCCCCATAGGGAACGCCACCGAAGAAGATATTCACAATTGCGGTATTCACACGTGCATATGGTTGGGTCTTTCGCCAGGCTAATTATGTTTTTTTGAGGGGGGGCGTGTGGGGGCCAGAGAAGCCCCCCGGGGAAAAACTTTTAATCTGTTTCGAATGTGTTTGGGGGGGGGTCCTGGGCGGGCCGGAGAACACCCCAGTTATAATTTGAAAGACCCTCCTCAAGAAAAGGTTTTGTCGGGGTTCCGGGGGGTCGGAAGGGGAGGAATTATTGGGAGGGCGGAGAAACTCACACAAAAACTAACAACAACAACAACAACAACAACAACAACAACAACAACAACAAGTACAACAGCAGCAGCAGCAGCAACAACAGCAACAGCAACAGCAACAACAGCAGCAACAACAACAAGTACAACAGCAACAGCAACAGTAACAGCAACAGCAGCAGCAATAACAACACCACAGCAAACAAATAAAACACTCAATAGGGGTTTTGAGGTGGACCTGGAGGGGCGGAGAAGCCGTCCAAGAACCCATGGCGCCCAGCGGGGTCTTCCACCGAATCACGATGTTTGTGGTTTCGGAGCCCCCTTGAAGACCCCACGAGGGTGTTTTATGAGGAGGGGTTCTTGGGGTGCTCTCAGGGAGGGTTTAGGGAGGGCTTTCAAGTATGGTACTGTTTTTCGCTGTGGCGCCCCAGGTCCCCCAACAAAAAACAGCTCTCTCGAGCCTGAGCGGGGTTTTCGGGCGTTGCTTCTTTAGGTTTTCGGGGGGGGGGCAGGGAACTCCCACACCAGTCTCCATGCGGCCCGCCCGCAAGAGAGAGCGCGCAGCGCATATTTTGCGCTGAAGCGTTGAAGAAACCCCCTTGGTCCGCAGGAGCACGCCGTGAAGACCATCCAACACATCTGCGACACGGCGGCTTCCCCTCCCTCGCGAGCAGCGCAACCAGCGGAGCTCGGCAGCAGAAAGCAGAGGGATAGGGCAAGCTGAGAGCTCCAGCACGCGATTTCGCGTCAATGAATTTGAAATCGGTTGTCTCGCTCCTCTGGGGCGGAACCTGAGGTGTATCGTTGCCACGGATGGCCATTTGGATCCACCGACCCGCATTGACATCGGTAGTGCCGCAGACGTTTGGGTCTGGCTCTGAATGGATATTTGCCGGCCGCTCTGCCGGCCGCTCTGTATCTAGAAGAAGGAGCGTGCACTTTTAGGCGAGACGTGAATGAGCAAAAGCGGTGGTGCGGCGGGCGAGGATGAGGAGGGTGAGGCTCAGAAAGGCGAGGCTCGCGAGGGTGAGGATCAGGAGAGTGAGGGTTGTGCGGGTGAGGATCAGGCGAGCGTGAAGCAGGAAGGTGAGGATGTGGAGAATGAGGGTCAGGAGAGCGAGGATGACGAGAATGAAGATCAGCAGGGTGAGGATCAGGCAAGTGTGGAGCAGGAAAAGGGGGATTAGCAGAGTAAGGATCGGCAGAGGGCGCATCACGAGGAGAGCGAGGATCATGATAATGATTATAAGCATGAGGAGGGTGAGGATCAGGATCGTCCCTGGAGGTCATCCCTCTTCCTCCTCCTCCTCCTCCTCCTCCACAGCATCAGCATCCACATACTTGCTCTCTCCTCCTCTCTCCTCCCTCCTCCGTCCTCCTTCGTCTTCCTCCCTGCTCATCCTTCTCCTCCTCTTGCTCGTCCTCCTCCTCCTCCCCTTCCTCCTGCGTCTTCTCCTCCTCCTCCTCCTCCTCCTTCTCCTCCTCCTCCTCCCCCTCCTCCTTCTCCTCCTCCTCCTCTTCCTCCTCCTCCTCCTCCTCTTCCTCCCGCTCTTCCTCTTCCTGCTCCTCCTCCTTCTCCTCCTCCTCCTCCTTCTCCTCCTCCTTCCTGGGGGCGCGGCACGGACCCGCGGGGCGATGTTGCAAAGGTGTCTCGAGCGGAAACGCCAGATAGGGACGCCCGGTGCATCCCCAGGAGCGGCCCCTGGGGGTGCGCTCTCAGGGCCCGTGGGGCGGCTCGCGAGGAAGGGCGCCAGATTGTGCAACACGCCCAGTGCCCAGACACCCCACGGGTCATGAAAAAATCATAACGGGAGGGTTTTCTCTACTTTCGGCCTCTCGCGGCCCTTACCGGGACTCGGGACCGTCAAAACAGGACTCAGGATGAAAAGCCAGTCCCGGGGAATGGGTCGAGACCCTTGGGGGTCGACGTTATGACACAATCATGACGTCGGGGATCTGGGCATGCCTGGTGCAATGGGACGAGACCTGTGGGGATCGACATTTTGAAAAAATCATGACGTCGGGGGTCTGGGTACGCCTGGTGCAATCCCTGAAATGGGGGCCCGGGGGCCCGCTGGGGGCCCGTAGAGCAATTTTTGCGAGGATGCCTCGAACGAAAGCGCTGGCGCCTGGTGCATCCAAAAAAATAGTTCCTGGGGGCGCGCTGGGGGCGGGGCGAGTTTTGCGGGGATGCCTCGAGCAAGGGCGCCAGATTGGGGCACGCCTGGCGCGCCCCGCGCATCCCCGGAAATGGGCCTTGGGCCGGGCCGGATGGGGACACACGCCTGGCGCGCCGGGCGCATCCCAGAAGTGGGACCTGCGGGCACGGGGCCCGTCGGAGGCGATTTTTGCAAGGATGTCTCTCGAGCGAGGGCGCCAGATTGGGACACGCCTGGCGTGCCCAGCGCGCCTGGCGCATTCCTGCAAATCCTTCCTGGGGACACGCCAGGGGCCCGTAGCGATTTTTTCGCGCATGTCCCGAGCGAGGGCGATTTTTAGAGGAATGTCTCGAACAAGTGCGCCAGTTTGAGACACGCCCGGAGCTCCGGGCGCGCCATGTGCATCCCCAGACATGATCCGCGGGGCGATTTCCAAGCGTGTCCGGCGCATCCTCGGAAATGAGCTCTGGGGTCGCGCCAGGGTGCCCTGGGGCGATATTCGCGAGGATGTCTCGAGCGAGAGCGCCAGATTGATACGCCTGGCGCGCCCGGCGCATCTCTGGAAACGGCTGGGGCGCGCTGGGAGGCTACTTTCTCGCGCGCTGGGAGTCAGGACCTGAGTTCCAATGAAACTCCCTCAAATGAACACATGTTGATCTGCGCGTTTCCTCCTCCTCCTCCTCCTCCTCCTCCTCCTCCTCCTCCTCCTCCTCCTGCTCCTCCTGCTCCTCCTCCTCCTCCTCCTCCTCCTCCTCCTCCTCGTCCTCCTGCTTAGTATCCTTACTCTCTGCCTCCTTTGCGTCTCCCTGGGTGACCTCAAGCATCAAGCTGCACTTTCTGGCATCACTCGGGGGACAGAAGGTAAGAAGCAGAAGTGGAACCGAGATGTAGAGATTAGAGATACCAGGGCGAGGCCGTTCCGGGTGTCTCTCGGCGGCTGCCCGCACCAGGGAGACGCCCTCGCCCTCTTCTCCCCGCGTGCGCTCAGAGCCAGCCTTCAACGATTCCACCAAAAGTACGACGTGTAACACTTGTCGCGCCTCGCCGCTCGCTACCGATCCACCGCGCCAGAACGGCATAGCAGTAGAAGCAGAGCACGGCATGAGCACAGTTGTTCGGAGGTCCGCGCGGACCTCTGTTGTGGTATATTCATGGCCTTTGCTTCCTCTTCCGAGCGAGCAATCTTCCAGGATCATCGAGCGAGCCACTTGGGCGACGCAAGAATACGGGGTCGGCCGCGCGGGCATTCGCGCGCAAGCTGCCCGCGCGAAAGTCGCGCGTACAGTCAAGTCGCATAGCAAGGATGAGCACTTTTCCAAAGCTGCCCTTGCATCCTTGCCCCTTCGGCCCATCCTTGGCGACTTTTCGCTGACTGACCAACCCCGTGCGAAAACGCCAACATGGCCCTCCAAGGCCCTTGCACCCTTTCCGCTCAGACATCCGGCTGGTTCATTTTTTCCGATGCGAGACAGTCCCCCCGAGACCAGGACAAAGACTGACCAGGACACTTGTACGTCGGGAAAACGGCACCCTATCCTGCAAAGTCAGATTTTGGTCGCCCAGTGCATTTTTTGTTGTTGCACTTGGTCGACCAGGGCATTTCGTCGTTGCTGCACTGCAGGATTCGGGTCTTTGTCAGGGTCTAGGGGGGTCGCAGGCTTTCATGGCCTTTGTCTGAGTTTATTCTGGGAATGTTGCAGTGCAGTCTTGTCCATGCCGCCCTCTTGCGCAGTGCATCTTTTTTGTTCGTGCCGCCGTCAGGGAAGATTGGTTTCGATGTATGTTGGATGTCCCAGTCTGGCGTGTCTGGGTTTAAGGGGCCCTGAGCGTGGGCCCCGGAGGTCTGGACCACTTCCCTAGGGCTGGTTTGTCGTCCTGAACCGTTGTTTGACGCTCCCGAGGCCTGGCGAGAGCCCCCAGAGGCCGAAAACGGCCAAAATTCGCCGCCCAAATTTTTGTCGGATCTCCAGGCGCACATCCTGATTATGTTCCTACTTCTTCGATCGACTGGTTTGCTTGCTTCCTTCGTCTTCAGGGGGGGCGGAGACCCAATCTACTTCCAACGCCGTCCTACTTCATGTTTCTACCCACGTCCTCCGACCGACGGATGTCATGCGACTTGACCGTACGGTCGGACCGAGGTGTAACATCGATGCCGGCTCGGGGAGGGTAACCTTGGTGCTCCTCGTGCTTGCTGGACGATCTTGTGCACCCCGGGGAGGGTACCCTTGGATCAGGCGATCGTAAACATCGATTAAGGGGGCGTGGATTAGCGACGGGTCCCGTTTCCATGGGAAATCGCGGAGTCTTGCCGCCGAGCGAGGCGGAACCGGCCGCATTCTGGGGAGAGCACCTCCCCCGATCCACGGATTTGGCAACGGCGCGCCAAATCCATGGATCGCTGATCCACGTTGGCGCGTCCCTGATTGGACGTCTTGTCTGTTTTCTCCCCTTCGGAGGGCCTCGTGCTCTCGAGAGGTGCTCTCCTGGCCCAGGGGTCCGACCGCAGGCGCCCTCCTCTCCTCGCTGGCGGTGCCGCCACGCGAGCGGCCCGCGCGGGTCGCGCCAGAAGGGGGGCGCCCGGGCCAGGGGCGTCGGGGTCCCTTCTCTCGCCGCCGCTCGCTCGGCACCCAGGCACCGCCCGCTGCCCCCCCTCGGGTATGGCCAGGACCCCAGGCAAGGGGGCCCGGTCCGTGGTGGGGCTCCGGAGAGCCCCCTAAAGTGGCCAGGATCACTAAACCAGGTCTGCCGCAGCTGGTGTTTTCTCGGGTGACGGCAGTTCCGGTGAGTGGAACGGGGCGGAGGGGGGTCCCCCAGTACACATCACTAAACCAGGTCCCACGAAACCAAGTTCTGCCCACGCCCGACCCCCCCCCCCCCTCAGACAAGGGTTAAGTCGGACGTGTCCCTCTACAGGAGGAATATTCAAAAACAGTCACAAAATAGTCTGGGCACGATTTTTGGACTATGACTATCTTTGACCTTTTTGGGGGGTATTTTTGGACTGTGTTTTTATTGCTTGCTGTCCAAAAAAATCCGCCTGCTGGAGGACATGCCCGACCTAAGACAAAGGGCTGAGCTCACCCAGGCTCATCTCGCCCAGGACGTAAGTCGCCCAGGCTCACTCGACCCGCTTCGATGTTGTTTCCAGCCACCCCGACGGTATCCGATCGGGCCCCCTTCTCGTCGCCGCTCGCTCGGCAACCAGGCACCGCCCGCTGCCCCACCCTCCCCCTCCTCAGACGAGGATTGAGTCGGGCGTGCCCCTCGACAGGGGGAACATGCGAAGATAGTCAACAACAGATAGTCCGGGCACGATGTTGTTGATGATGCTTGACCTCTTCGGGGGGATCTTTGGGACTACTTGCAAGTGCTTCGTCATAGAAATCCGCCTGCAGGAGGACATGCCCGACCTCCTCCTCCTCCTCCTCCTCCTCCTCCTCCTCCTCCTCCAAAGGGCTGGGCTCGCCCAGGCGCACCTCGCCGCGGA